CATTTCTGACCTTATGTCTCTGGTTGGGATCCGGAAGGAAAGGTGTATATAATCAAAGGAAATAATAATAATAGGGATGAAAATGGGAATATGCACTTAGGGGAAATATATGTAACTATATGTGGATAAGAAAGATGATAATAATAAATAATAATGACTATAAAAATAGTAGGGTTTACGGCCATATCACGTTGAAACATCGGTTCCCGTACAATTACCGAATTTAAGCAACGTCGAGCCTGGTCAGTACCTAGATGGGTGACTACTTGGGAATATCAGGTGCTGTCAGATTGAACATGTGGTTGGTGTAATGGATAAGCCGATTTTCAATTCCACTTGGGTTCGTTATATTCATTTACGTACAAAGACTCTTGGGAAACGTATAAAGCCACCTCTTCTCTCCCCCCCACCAATCCTTGGTTAATTAGTAACACTTGTATCACTAAATGATTATTATCTCAAAAACAAAAACGAATCAATGAAATACTGATTAGCTACACAGACATGCTTTTAGACTTATATTCTCTGCGATATAAATGCATAGAAACTACAATGGCCACAAATTGAGGGGCCAGTTTATGCATTTATTGTAATATAGAAGTGATCCCCCACTTTATATCCACATCATAATTTCTTGTTCGTTTGTCAAAATCTGGTTAGGTATAAATCCACCTCTTCTTCCCCCCAGTTATCGGTTAATTACTAAGAATTATATCATTAAATCATTATTATCTCAAAAAGAAAACCTTACAATCTAAAAATATTTTCTGGCTTTAAATAATTTGCAAAGGGTTGATAAGCCGTAGAAAACGAATCAATGACAAAACAATATAAAAATAGTCGTAGCGTTAATTAAAAAGAAACTACAGTGTAAATATATGACACCGTAGATCGGTGGCTGACAAATGACGGCAATGTCCATCTATTTAGCAAGCACTGCCACCCACTTTTGAACTCAGCTAATTCACATCACCTTACCATACTATTCGGTTTCCATGACTTTGGCTGGCATATATATATATATATATATATATATATATATATATATATATATATACACCCAAGTATAGGATTGGTATATATATGTAATAAATTCCAATAACCAACATTTACTATTCTTAAAAGAGTGCTCAATACATAATAGAGCAGATATAATTATTTATTTAAAAATTATAACAAAGAAATTGCGTTTCAACACCCCAGTGTCTTATAAGTGATGATGTTGAATGTAAAATAAATGGTTTTAAAGGTTTCAAATTAATTATATATATATATATATATATATATATATATATATATATATATATATATATATATATATATATATGGGTGGGTGTACAAAACCACAGAAACACGATACCTAAGATTTATCTAAATTAATTTTTACAAATGAAAAATCTTTCTTGAAGTTTATATTTTAGCTTTAATTTCAACCTAATAGATTAAATTTAACATTTCCAATCAAAATACGTCGTTTTATAGGGTATTCCAATAACTTGGACTGATTTTAAATTAACTTTTTCGTCTGATGATTTTTTTTTTTTTTTTTTTCAGATTTAACATCTGAAGTCTTTAATTTCAACCATGGAAATTTACACCATTGATATTGCTTTCGTTTTTCAGGTCAACTGCCGATGTAGACGATAGATCAAGATAGGAGAGATAGGACGCAAGAAAAAATAGGAAGATGAGGGTATAGAAGAAAGGATAGATTATTAAGACAACTGGAGATGTCGATTGACATTACACTTGAATAGCTGGAGATTATAACTCTCAGGGAAACAGGAGAAGGGAAGAGAGTTCCACAGGCGAGAGGTGCGAGACATGAAGCTATTAGAGTAGAAGAGACGGCTACATTTAGGAGTTTCGACAGTGAAGGGGTGAGAGCGGGATGCCAGCCTCGTAAGGCGCTTGAATTCATGAAGTCTGGGAACCAGCGAATGCAGCTCCTCGGAGCAATTTCTATGAAAGTATTTGTAGAACAGACAGAGGGAGGCGACGGTGCGTCTGTGAGAAAGTGACTGTAGACGAGACGCCAGGGCAGGGCCAACCATATTACATATCCGCCTCTGGAGCCTATCAAGAACCCCCGAGGCAAACAGAAGGGGCACCAGACCATATATGGCAGCAATACTCCATGCAAGGGCGAATTGTGGATTTGTATATCTGGAGGATCGACTCAGGGGAGAAAAACTTCCTAGCGCGGCTCAGGGAGCCAACTTTCCTCGCAGTGGACGAGGCAATTGACTCAATGTATTTATTCCATCTCAGGTCAGCAGTCAACGTGAGACCGAGAAGCCGCAGAGAGTTGCTCTCGAGAAGTTGAGCGTCAGACATTCTAATGGAGGGAAGGGAAGGCTCTCTGTGGTGATTAATAGAGAGCAGTTTTGTTTTTTGAAACGTTGAAGTTGACCAGCCAATTCCTGCCCCAGTTCACAATCGATTGGAGGTCCTTTTTCGAGACGCACGGCAAGGTGAGTTTTGTCAGCGACACTAGATTTGTTTTTGAGGCAGGAATAAATTGTGGTGTCATCCGCGTAGATGCCAACTTGAGGAATTTATATTAAACAGGAAGGTCATTTATGAAGATAAAAAATAGAGTTGGGCCTAGGATGGAGCCTTGAGGAACACCTGCGTTCGTGGGATAGGAACTGGAGGAGAATCCGTTGAGAACGACCTTCAATTCACGGTTTGACAGGAATGATTGTATTAGGTCAAACAATCGACCCGTAATACCATAACCCTGGAGCTTGCGAAGAAGGCCGGCATGCCAAACCCTATCAAATGCTTTGGAGATGTCTAGGGCCACGGCACGAGCTTCCCCGTTATTTTGAAGAGCTTGGTTAGACTGTTTCAGTGATGGCCGTAAGCACATCAGCTGTAGATCTGGCAAAGCGAAACCATATTGCTTGTCTGAGAGCAGATTATGGGATGTGAGGTGGTTAACCACTTCGGTATTGATTAGGGCTTCGAAGACTTTGCCGAAGAGGGGTAGGAGACTGATAGGACGGTAATTAGAAGGGGTCAGAGGGTCGCCAGAGTTCTTGAAGACAGGAACAATCGAAGAGGACTTCCAGCAGTCAGGAAAACAAGATTCCTTGAGGCAGTAGTTATATAGTTTTTAGAGGGCGGGCGCCAGTTCAGGCGCGCATTTTCTTCAAGACAATGGCTGGTATCCCATCTCCACCACTAGCCTTGTTGGGGTCTAAATTGGAGATAATGCCCAATACCAAAGACAAAGTTATGTTTAACCCACTCAATAAGGCCTCAGTTCTAAGAGGGAAGTCTGTATATGGGTACACCGGAAGAGTCGAGCGTCGAGTTGAATGAAAATTTCCGAGCAAAGCATTCAGCCTTGTCGGTAGAGGAGGTCAAGACTTCGAACTGGTTGAATAAAGGAGGTATAGAGGGTTTGCAATTGTTCAATACACTCTTGCAGAGACGCCAATAATCTTTGGAGCCAAATTTGCGAGATGCAATACGTTCCTTCATTCGAGCCGCAAATAAATATTGACTTAGCATCATTTTGGACACGCTTACAATCGTTACGGGCGGCGGCAAAGAGACGTCTATTGCAGTCAGACATGTCGCTATGGTATAGGTGGAAAGTAGTGGTTCCTATGGGCGATGGCGGCTGAGCAAGCATAAAAAAACCAGGGGCAGGAGCGCGACATTGACCCTATATTTCCTTGATGGGATGAAAGCGTCGATTCCAGCTTTAACCCAGGATGAGACCTCAGAATCACATTCTTGGACAGGGAGCTTAAAAACTCCATCCCAGGGGACATCGCGAGGAAATCACGGAACGCATTTCCCAATCCAGCTCGTTGATAATAGAACGAAGTTCTAGTGGTGGAGGTTCTTTAATTTTAGGAGTTGAAGGATCTGTTAACCAGATACTACTGCATGGTCAGAGTTTTCCAAGTTTTCAAAAGAAGAAGGCGCTGCAGGATTCGGGGATGGAGGTAAAAAACAGGTCGAGAAGAGAGGCCTTAAATTTTTGGTTGAAACACAAAACGAAATAAAAAGTTAACTATCTGTGTGAGGAATTTTTAAAATGAAAAATTAAATTTTGAATGCCTGCATGGTCAGTAGTAGCATTCTTAAGCCACAGAATGTGTGATGGGCACAAAAAGTCTCCAAACACAAAAATGTGAGCAAACGGGTGGAGGGAGAGATTGCCTTGTCTATGCTGTCAGAAATGCTATCAAGTATCTCACAGTCTTGAGAGGATGGAGAGCGGTAAAGGAAGAAGAGATAGGTTTTACTTCATTGAGGAGAGAGATTTTTTCTACACATGTATGACTGGTCAGGCGATTCAAGAGAGGACTCTCTGGCCAGGGGAGATGTTCCTTGACGTAGACACCAAGAAATATCATGTGGGTTAGAGAGTCTTTTTTGAGGAGAGGAAGATAGCCGGGGATCGAGAGATCAGAAGAGGGGATAGATGAGACAAGGTTTGTCTCATAGAGAGAAATCCAGTATATCCGGGCAGTTTGCAGTGAGGAAAAATTCCAGACTGTAGAAGTTTGTTCTAATGCCCCGGATGTTGGATTTCTGAAAAATGTTGAGGGGTTTAGGTGGTTTTTTAGATGCTGGTTTTAGGTAAATTTTTTTTTTTTTTTTTCAAACTCATGTTGGATTTTTTGGTTTCGTTTAATGAGAAGGCCTGAGGTAAGAAAAACAGACAGTTTCGACCGTGACGCGGGCAGAGAGGAGTTGGCAAAATATGCATCATTATGTGGCCTCAGGGCTGCCCACCGGAGGTGACTGCAGGGACACCTTTCCACGCGCGACATGGCACTCAAACACCCCGGTATTATACAACTGTTGATCAGAGCAGCCGCTCAAGACGCTACGCAAGAGTTAGGGCTCCTAACTACCAGTCGGAAACAGCAACCAGAGAACTGTCAAATTTGTGTATACCTCAGAATGAAGATAAAAACAGACTGCACGCATCATGGGAGAAACAGACCTGCACTAATCACAGAGGCCGGAGAGAAAAAAGATTTACATTGAACCCCATTAGACAAAAAACAAGGTGTAAGCCTCTACTCATGTCCAATAGAATTTCTGGAGTCAATGACATTAATTCACATAGAAGGGAAATATACTCCTATTTTGATAAATACAATAAAATGGACGAACAAAAAAACTTAGAGGAACATGATTTGGGAATAAAAGGTTTAGGATTCCTGGTTCAAATTCTTGGCTTATTTTTATCACATTAAGTTTTAACTTAGTATAAGTCCCAGTGTCTCTATTCTAAAATTAATTTTAAATGGGGG